AAAAAAAAAAAAAAGATTCAAAGCCAGGGCTGGTCAGGGACCAAGATTCAGTGGCAAGCTTTCAAAAAGCCAACTTCACTTAAGGGCTGATCTCCGCACTGAGATGGGGGAATGCCTCGTCCCTGCACCTCCCCTGGCCTGCCTCCAGTCTTCTCCACACCCCCAGCTATGGCTCTTCAAACAAGGACAGACTACGGGCTCTCTGAGGGTGCTTTCCTAGCCACTGAGCTCGCCTGCTGTCCCCTTGCTCTGTCTTAGAAAAAGTCCAGACAGACAGAGGGCCAGACTCCCTGAAAGGAGAGAGCAGTCCGACTGGCCAGCCCAAAGCCCCAGCTGATGAAATATTAATTCCGCAGGAAGGTGGAAGAGCAGCTGAGGACTTGCCCTTGGGGCTCTGAGGTGGCCCGAGTCTTACCCACTCCCAACCTTTGTTCTGTAAGGATCTTACACAAACACACACACACACACACCAAAGAAGATACTGGCAAGGAGACCTGTGGGAAGGAGGAGGGGTGGAAAAGAGGGCACATACAGACAGGCTCCAGTGAGACAGGCAGCCACAGATGGCCGCATATACTCACAGACCTGCATGCCAAACCCACACGCTCATAAGAAATACACCCAAATACACAGATCTCTCTCTTTTCCCCTTCTCTATCTCTCGTGTGTGTGTGTGTGTGTGTGTGTGTGTGTGTATGTGTGGGTATGTGTACATATGTACCTGTGTGCACCGCATGCGTACCTGTGTGCCTGGCACCTGGGGAGGTTAGAAGAGGGTGATGGGAGCCAGGCTTGGTAGTGCACACCTTTAATCCCAGCCCTTGAGTGGCAGAGGCAAGCAGGTCTCTGTGGGTTCAAGGCCAGTCTAACATAGTGGGTTCCAAGCCAGTCAGGGTTACGAAGTAATACCCCCATCCCCCCCCCCCCAAAAAAAAAAAAACAATTAATGAAAAGAAAGGAAAACACAGAGGAGACAGCAGACCCTCTGACACCGGGGCTACAGGTGGTTTTGAAGCACCTCAAGGGCGCTCCGTCCACTGCGGGCCACACGAGCCCATGCTACTGAGCCATCTCTCCAAACCTCCAAAACTGTTCTTAAATTCCACATTCTGGCTTTCCTCACTCCCGTCCTGTCACTTCTAGACTGCTGTGGCATCTTTAACGCTGCTTTCGGAGATAGCGAGGGGAGCCATTTGAGGGCACGAAGCAGAAACGGTCAACTCCCGGATGACACCAGGCAGCAATCTCTGGAATCCTTTCGTGGCTGCTGAGTTTCTCCCATTCAGCACACGCAGTGGGGAACTAAAACAGGACAGTTGCTGGTGCAGACAGACAGTTCAAGGCCACACACAAAGTCGCTAAATAGTGACTTGAACTCAGGATCTCATGACTTCCAGCCTAGAAATACCAAAACCCCAACCACTCATTCTCAGGCTTCTTTACCCAGCCAGGCCTGGTGGCCAGCCCTCGGAAGCCAGAGGCAGAGGCATGAAGAACCCTGAGTCTGAGGCCAACCTGGGGCAACACCGTGTCTCACAGAACCATGGCTGAGGACAGAGCTTGGCTGGTAGAGTGCTTGCCTATCACTCATTAAAGCCTGAATTCCATCCCAGCATTGCACAAATCAGGGACGGTGGCTGGTGCGTGCCCGTAATCCCGGCATTCTGGAGAGGAAGGATCAGCTCAAGGTCATCCTCAGTTACATAGTGAATTTGAGTACTGCAGCCAGGAGCACAGGACACGAAACGGAGAGAGGAGAGTAAGTGGGCAGGATAAAATAAAGAATTCTCTCCTTGGTGGGTTCTAGTTTTACCAGCCTGCCTGGTCCAGCCACCAGGACATAGTGACAAGGACATCTTTGGAGGTGTCCCCAAATTCTCTAACTGCGGCCAGGCTTCAGGGTAAGGGCTGGTAAGGTCTAGATACCGAGAACTCTACCCAAATTAATGACAATGACTGCCTTTGCTCTTAGGCAGCGCTCAGAATAGACACGTCCCGCCCCCTGCTGATCCCGCATCCGCAGTATTAGGTTCTCCGGGCCAGCAGAGGGCACTGTGAGCCGCGGGATGCGGTACAGTCTAGCCACCCAGCAGGCCAGGAGGCCACCTCGATGGTGGTGCGCTGTCCAGCATTTCAGCAATCGGCAGCGGCGCCCGCGGGAGGACCGGGGCGCGGGGCCGTGGGGAGGCCACAGACCTGCCTTGCCGAGCAAAATACCCGGGGGACAAACGGGACCCGGAGGCCTGGCTCCAGCATCCAGAGGACTGCAGAGGTCAGCGGGAGGTAAGAGCCTCTGATGGGGCGGGGGTGTTTCCCAGAGGGGCTGGGCTGGGTTGGACCTCAGGCCTCCCCAGCTAGGGGACCCAGATGTGCAGAAGACTGGTGGTGAGGCGTTGATTGCTGAAGTTACCTATCGCGGGGTGGGGGTTCATACGAGATAAAATTAGAGATAGAGAATGCTGTTCTTTTCACCTAGAGTGATGGAGAAAGTGTGAATTTAAGGCTCAAAGGGAAGACTGTTCTGGACATAAATGAATCATGGTGCAGCCCGTGAGAATGCCAACAAGGCCATCATATAGTCGCCCTTCCCCCAGCTTAGGAGAAGCACCTGCTCCCCAGGGAAGGGCTACCCAGAGGCAGGGGCACTGTAGACACCCATCACACTTGCAGAGGTGGAGAGAGCAGGCCACCCCAACCTGGAGGCTGGGCCTCTGTCCAGCAGGGGGTGCCTGCAGAAGGGACAGTCTGGCCTTTTTCCCAGCTGCCCAAATGCCTGGGGGAGGTAGGAACTGGCAGTGAGAATTGGGCCTCTCACAAGCCGGCATTTATTCTCACACTGGGAAGAGGGTAGAGGGCGCAGATGTGAAACAGCCACTGGGAGTTTGGAAGGACATTCTGCAAGAATTTCTAAGGCCTGGGGTAGGTCTAGCCTTGTGGTAGATTTCTGATTAAGTACTCTGGAGAGACATACAGCCTCTGGCTTGGCAGCTGCTCCCACTTTCTTTCAAAGGCTCCTGCCTATATAGTGAGGCCTCCTACAGTTCTTGTTTCTGACAGCTAATTCTCATAAGGACAGATCAGGGAGATCCAGAAAAAGGCCACTCAGGTCAGATGTGTATTCCGGTGTCTGTGCTCTATCCAAGCCATAACTTCTCAGTCCCATGACTCCTCTCCACTCACCTGCGCTTGGCACGCTTATGCAGGGACTGGCCTTCTATCCTGTACTAAGAGCAAAAGTCAGTTACCTTGAGTCCCCATCCATTACCCATAGAGTCATCGTAAGGTCACAACTGGAGCTGGTGCCAGATTCTTCATCCCAAGCCAGAAATAGAAATATGTTGACTAGGAAATCGCTCCCACTGAAAAATAGTTTTGGGGTTCTTTAACTTTATATCTTATCCCACTCTCCTGTGTGGGGTAGGGGGGAATTCATGCAGGGTGACTAAAGAGAGTGAATTGGGTTTTCAGAGGTGAGTGGGGGGTGGTTGGAGAGTCACAGTCTCTGAAGTCAAGAAACACAGAATCAAATGCAGGATGCCTGACTTCAGGTAAGCCACTTAACCTTCCGGAACTTGCCTCCTACTGCGTAAACAAGAGGGATAGCAACAATCTCTTCTGTGGTGGAGGGTGACCGGGCATGTGCTGAGAAAGGGGGCAGAATCTTTTGTGGTTGAACTACTGGGATCGTCTATAGAATGAATGCAAAGCTACCCAAACAGTAGGATGTTAGGGCCAGTGAGGTGGCTCACTGGGGTAAAAGCGCTTGCACCAAGCCTGACAGCCAAGTTCGACCCCTGGACCCAGCATTAGGGAAGGAGAGAACAAAACTCCACAAGTTGTACCCTGACCTCCACATGTGCACCGTCACTCTCGTACATGTAAAAGAGCCAGGAGGTGGTGGCATATGCTTTTAATCCCCGCACTCAAGACACAGGCGGGTGGACAGAGACAGAGTTCAGGGCTAGCCTGGTCTCTAGAGTGATTTCCAGGACAGCCATGGATACATGGAGAAACCCTGTGCTTATTATATGTGTAATATATATGTATTTTATATGTATATAAATAAAACAGGGTTTTAAATATATCATATATAAATATATATATATATATATGATGCTAGATTAAAGTTAATAAATAGATTATGGTCAGGAGTGGTGGCTCATGCCTTTAATACCAGCACTTGGGAGTTAGAGGCAGGCAGATCTCTGTGAGTTCAAGGTCTACAAGAGTCCAGGACAGTCAGGGCTTGACACACAAAGAAACCCTGTTTCTAAAAACAGAACAAAAAAGTTTACAGGTAAACATTTTCTACAAAGATAAACAGAAGAGTGTGTGGTTTGTCTTTTGATTTTGTGGGTGTCTCCTTTGAGATCCTGTCAGCTGAGGGTAGTACCTCAGGCTCCATGGCTGGCATCAGGCTGCAGTAGAGCCAGCTCGTCCTCACCAATGCTTTCCAAGGAGATCTAATTGGTCCTTTTTCAGAGCTGAGAAGTGAGGGTAGACTGACTTTCCCAAGGTCACAGAGCCACTTAGCTATCCTCCCTGGGGCGGAAGTGTTGCTCATGACCTGTCCCAACCTCTTGCTGTCAAGGTCCAGAACAGTGTCGGTTTCTTTTGATGTCGGATTCCAGGTGTGGAGCCTGAGGCACACACAGTGGCGTAGGAAGAAGACTCCCCCAAGGTCACTAGGACATTTGATGGTAGAATGTACTTTGGACTGGCATCTGTGCGCCCCTACTGCAACCTGCCCCCATTGTGATCCCAGGAGAAGTCCCATCTGGTCATTATCATACCTTCATCCCACCTCCTCCTCCCCACAGGCTCTTGCTGACCTTGGAAAGCTAGTGGCTGCCCATTCCTTTCTGAGTGGTTAACTCCCACCCCCTCACACAGCCCGTGGTCAGAGCAGCTGTCAGCCCTGTTGGAGCCAGCCTCCCTTTCTACCCACATCTCCTCCTCTGCTCACATATTATTCCCTCCAGGGCCATGTCATAGCCTGTGCATCCCTTAACCTACACTTTGAATCATTCACATGACCACAACCTTTCACACACACACACACACATCACATCACATCACATCTTCATATTACCTGGTCAAGAGGTATTATATCAGTGGAGGTGGAGAGATGGGAGGGGGGAAATGACATAGGCCTTTAATAGCACTCTAAAGGCAGAGGCAGGTGGATCTCAGAGTTCAAGAGTTCTCAGCTAGTCTGGTCTACAGAGCAAGTTCTAGAAAAATCAGAGCTACACAGAGAAACCCTGTCTTGAAAAATAACCAAAGAAACAAACAAACAAAAAAAAAAAGAGGTGCTGCGGTCTTCCCTTTGCAGAGGATCCAGACAAAACCTAGAAGTTCAGTCTAAGCCCACTGTCCCAGAGTGGCTTCCTCAATTCTCCATGCCCCCTGGCGACCATCTCCCAGAGCGCTGTGGACCAGTAGAAGTCAGGGGTAACACAGAGCAAAGAAGACTGCAGGGTTGGGCATGTGAGTCCAAAGGTATTTTTGATCCCAGCTCCAATCCTGATTTCTTGCATGACCTTCAACAAGTCCCCAGTGTCCCTGTGTGTAAAGTGATAGAGTCTCACAAGATGACCACCCAACATTCCCATAAGCATCAGGACTTTTAAGAGCTCTCTACACTACATATCTGTATGTCAGGCCAAGCCTGATAGTGAAGGCCTGTGATTCCCAACTGGTTGGGAAATGGAGGTAGGAGGATTTTGAGGTCAAGACGAGTTTGGGCAACATCTTGGAGAACTTAGCATCTTGGAGAACTTGGCAAAACCCTGTGACAAAGTAAAGTAAAAAGATGACTGGGGAAACAGGTCAGTGGTAGATGATTTGCTTAGTCCTTTAACTAGGGTACAAGCCCCTCTAACACACACATGGTCTGGGGGGGGGGTTGGGGAAATGGCTCGGTCAGTGGAGTGTTTGTTGTCCAAACATGAGGACCTGAGTTCAGATCCCCAGCACTCACATGAGAAACTGGGTGCTCTAGCATATATCCACAATACAACTGTTAGGAAGGTGAGAACAAGTAGATCCCTGGAACTCACTGGTCAGCCAGTTTAACTAATTTGCTACCTCCAGGTTTAGTGAGAGAACCTGTTCCAAAAAATAAGGTGGAGAGCAATTGAGAAAGACACCTGCCTTTCATGTGCATACATGCATTCTCTCTCTCTCTCTCTCTCTCTCTCTCTCTCTCTCTCTCTCTCTCTCAGAGGTGGGAAGGTTAGAGAGAAGATGAGAGGTCTAGAGTCCTGGGATAGATAGAAATTCCTTACCAGCAATCACAGCTGTGGTCTGGTCCAGCCGTGTTCATCCTGTGGTGATGATACCTGTGTTTCTTCCCTCTTCTCTCTCTTCTGGGTCATGGGCACGGGAAGATGACAGTTCCACCTGAACCCAGCCCTCTTAGCCTTGTGTCATCCAAATTGGGGCTTTCAGGGGATTTGGGCAGGTGATCAAGGCCTGGGTTGACCACTGGACTTGTAGAAAAGCCCTTCAATGGCTATGTAGACCTTGGCTCCAGAGCAGCCCACCAACCCCCTAGGGGTCCCACCATATTAAAAGCTGCCAGCCTGCGGCAATGTTTCCTAGCAGGCAGCCCAGCTTCAGCCTCTGCTGCCCTCGCCCTGGCCTCCTGCCCACTGCAGAGGTTGCTGTGCCAGCCGAAGCTGGCAGACAAGCCTGGATCCCTCAGCATGGTGCTGGGCCCTCTGAAAGTTACAAGGCTGGGCCAAGCTCCCCGATCCTGAAGTGCAGACAGCTTCTTCATTTGGGGTATGGGGTAGGGCTCTTCCTACTGCTGTCTCCCAGAATTACCCAGGACAGAGACAGACATGCAAAAACGAATTGTGTTGCGCTCTGTCTTCAGCAAGGTCTCAATATGTGTCACTGGCCTGCTATGGACGTGAATTTCTGGCTGTCCTCTTGACAGGCATAGACCAGCACACCTAACATGGGTTGAAGCGTTTAATTTTGCAAACGACCTGTTTTCAAGACGGCAAAGGTGCATACTGGTTAATCCCAGTTCTCGCTTGCCTAGCATGCTCAAGGCCCTGGGTTTTATCATCAGTGCCCCTTCTTTTAAAATAAAGCATGAAGAAAGGGAAGAAGAAGAGAAGAGAGAAGCCAGGTGTGGTGGGCTGCTCCTTTAATCCCAGCACTTGGGAGTGGAGGCAGGCGGATCTCCGTGAGTTCACGGCAAGCATGGTCTACGGAGGGAGTTCCGGAACAGCCAGGGCTACAGTGAGACCCTGACTCAACGAACTATA